GATGGAGCGAATTTAATAACTCGCTCTCTTGAATATTTTTTTTTAAAAAAAAAAAAAAAAAGAACGAAGAGGAAATTTCTGAGCAAAACGAAGCCGTACTTTTTGTATTCTCGCGCGTGATCAGAAGTGTGTCCACGTATTCGGCGATAAAGGCGAGAATGTTGGTCGGTTGCGAGCGAAGAACCTATGGTTTTAATCATAGAGTGAGAAATTATAATAGAAAATTGGAGATTAAGAATTTGTGGATAGTTAAAATGAATGTTTCGAAAGGTTATCCAAGATGTGTTTTATATATAATTTGAGAAACGATTTTTGCATAAATTTTTGAATTGAATTTTTGAATTATATACACGCGAAGGCATGTGATAATTTTAACATTTGGCAATAAAATATTATTTACTTCCCGTGAAATGTCGCTACACAATTCTCGTAGTCCTTCCGGTACTTTGTATATGTGTTTAGCTCCGTGTTTTTGAAGTGTCGGGTCCATTTTTTTTTTTTTTTAAATTATTATCCACTAATTAAATTTAGAAACCAGTCTCAAAAAATAGGACTTTCTGTCATTTACAACTTTTTAAACGTTTTCTATTTTTTAATCGTTGCCCGTTAAGTAAAATAAAATTTTCTTTTGTTTCGTAAAATACACTGCATTGTGACTGTATTCAATTCGTGCCTCAAATATCTAGGGAAATTTTTATATTAAATTGTTAACTTGGGTTCCAGCTTGGGTTTATTAAATCGAGAAAAACAATTGTGCTCTATCATTTTTCCAGAATTTTTATCAAAAATTGCAAAATCTTGATTGCATGTTAATTAATTTCTTGAAGCCCATTATCCAATTATTTAATTTAATAATAATAAATTAGGCTTTTGAAAAGTAATTCTAGTATTCTAAAAATTAATATCTCGACGTCCAATGTTGCATATATGAAATATAATATTTCAATTACTTAATTAAATAAATAATAATAAATAAATAAATATATATATATTCCTTTTTGATGATGAAATAAGCCTCAAATGTTAATACATTGTATCAAGAAAACGAAATAATATATTTCTATAACGAATAATTGATGAAAAAAGAATATCTCTAAAAAAAAATCTTTGATTCTGAAAAGATTAAATTTTTTTTCCTTTTATAATTTCCTTTTAACTAATATCCTTTTTTTTTATGAAAAAAAAAAAAACATTAAAACATTCTATCTATATAACAACGTACAATCATTATGATGATCGTGTATTCAAGCTTATGGCAATCATTATGGTAAACAAACACAATGAACGCAAATCCCTATATAGATAGTGCACAAGTACACACGTGATGTAATGGAGATAGAGATTTGCGTGGAGAATTACGCAATCGCAATCTGTCTTGCGCAACAAATTTCGTATTATCGTCAAACAATTTCATACAGAATTAATAACTTGGAAATGCTGGAACATTGCGATAAACATCTGTTTCCATATCGTAGATGAATCCTCCGCAATCGGATGTTATATTATCTCTTGCAGAAATGGGATGAAACATCGATAGCGATCCTCTTTAGTTCCCATTCTTCTAAGACGAACGACTGTTTGATATACCATTACACCATACGAAAATACGTTATTGGAAGTGTTTGTTTCGTTTGAACAGAATTTCTTTTGTTTTCATATTTTATTGGTTATTTAAGAATACATCGTGTATTAAGATTTTATTCTTCGTGAGAAGAAAAGAAAAGAAAAGAAAAGAAAAAAAAAAAGAAAACTATTATAATTTTTAAGAAAGTTCAAATGATCGGTAAATACGCGTTAAATTTTATTTTGTATAAAATGAAATTATCGAATCGAAGAAAAAAGATGTGCCAAGAGAAATATGATAGATTTTAATTTCTGATTAAGCGTAAAATGAAAAATGTGGTTGGTCTATAGTTTGACAGGTTGATAAGTCTGTCTGAA